CGGGCCCAGTAACGTCTCCATTGGAGACTTTGTTGTTACTGTGTCTGGCATATCGAATACTCTCGGTAGCTTGCCGGGCTCTCCGAGAGGGGCGGAGGAATCGAACTCGGGTCGGCCATGTTGTCCGCTTGTAAGGCGAACGCCCTACCGCTGTGCTATCGCTCCACAAAAAAAAATTAAAATAAAAAAATAAATAGGTCACCCCAGGCAGTGCTAGGGGCTGCACGGCTAAACCCAGTGATATTCAGGGAAGGACGCAACACAGGGTCATACTCACAGGCCTCTCACATGCCGGGCGGGATGTGCACTAGCACAGCTGGTGATCTTTAAACATGAAAAAGAGCTGGAGAAGCAATACTACTGGGAATATATCCCAGAGAGGCAGAGAAGTATAGTCGAAATGACATCTGCACTTGTATGTTCATTGCTGCACTGTTCACAATAGCCAACATCTAGAAAAAACCCGAGTGCCCGAGAACTGATGACTGGTTAAAGAAACTTTGGTACATCTACACAATGGAATACTATGCAGCAGTTAGAAAGGATGAAGCCATGGACTTTGCAAACAAGTGGTTCTACATGGAAAATATCATGCTAAGTGAAATGAGTCAGAAAGAGAGGGACAGACATAGAAAGACTGCACTCATCTGGGGAATATAAAGTAACAGAATGGCCTCCAAGCCATGGAGTGAACCTCCTGGTACTTATCTCGGCCATTCTTGGGTGTTAGTCTCCTATTTTGTTACTTTACGTTCTCCAGATAATGCAATCTTTCTATGTCTATCCCTCTCTTTCTGATTCATTTTGCTTAGAATTTTGTTCCATGGCTTGGAGGTCAACTACACATGCTAGGGGAAAAGGCAGCTCAGATAGAGAAGAGAGCACCAAATAAAGGGTGCTGGGAGGATCCTCCCAGGATGGGAGAAGCACGCCGAAAGTAGACTATAGACTAAACATGACTGCCACTCAATGCCCCTTTTGCAAACCACAGCACCCAAAAGGAGAGAGAGAACAAAAGGGAATGCCCTGCCACAGAGGCAGGGTGGGATCGGGGGACGGGGGGTGGGAGGGATACTGGGATCCGTGGTGGTGGGAAATGGGCACTGGTGGAGGGATGGGTGTTTGATCATTGTACAACTGAAACCCAAGCACAAAATTTGTAAGTCTACAACTGTACCTCATGGTGTCTCACTAATTAAAAAAAAAAAAAGACTTCAATTAAAAAAAAAAAAGAAGAAAAGTCACGTTTGATGCAGACAGCCTGCAAAGACTAATTAAAAAATTTTATTATTTATTGATTTTTGGGTCACACCCAGCGATGCTCAGGGGTTCCTCCTGACTCTGCACTCAGGAATTACTCCTGGCCGGGGACCCCTATGGGATGCTGGGAATTGAACCCGGCTTCGTGAAAGGCAAAGGCCTACCTGCTGTGCTATCGCTCCAGCCCCCAACTAATTCAAATTTAAACGTGTCTCCTACTGACAAGAAAAATAGAACACAAACTTCAATAAAGCACTGCTTCTGGACATAACTTAGAAAAGAATGGATTTCTTCTGATAACCAAAGATAACTTATTATATCCTTCAAAACATACTGCAATTAACATGACCCGCAACACCGGCAACTTGGAAGATACAGATCAAACGTAAAAACACAATTACGAAATGTGTATCATCGTATGACCAGATTATCAATCTGCTCCTATTTAAAGGCACTCAAAGCGCCATTAATTCTCTGCTTCTTATTCTGATCATTTTCTGAAGAGATCTGCCTGAATGAAGTTCTCGAAGTGAAGAATCGACATTTGAATAGTCTTTCTTCCTATCTGCAAAAGGTCGTTCATTAATCTTGGAAACAAAGGCTAACATTGCTCTGGCTGACGATGGGGCCCAACTTTTGAATGATTAAAAGTCCAATAATTTATCAGGTGCGTAACTGCGAGACGTTAGTGAGATCCAATTACTTGGAAGTTGGGGAAACTTTCATCTAAGTTGGAGACACATTCATCTGGTTACAAAACTGATCTGAGATGATGCAAGTCTTATTTTAGTCTTTATTAAGCCTACATAATGAACACTGTCAAACAAACCCTGTCTCCCGTTATTCATCGATTTGCTCGAGCGGGCCCAGTAACGTCTCCATTTTTTTTTTTTTTTAAGACTTGTTACTGTGTTTGGCATAATGTCTCCATTTTTTTTTTTTTTGGAGACTTGTTACTGTGTTTGGCATAACGTCTCCATTTTTTTTGAGACTTGTTACTGTGTCTGGCATCTCGAATACGCCATGGGGAGCTCGCCACACTCTGCCGTGCGGGCAAGATACTCTCGGTAGCTTGCCGGGCTCTCCGATGGGGAATTGAACCCGGGTTGGCCGCGTGCAAGGCAAAATTTCATTTTTGTGGGGTTGTGTTTTTATTTCTGGGCCATACCCGGTGATGCTCAGGGCTTACTTGTTCCTTGCTCTGCACGCAGGAATGACTCCTGGCAATGCTCGGGGGACCCTATGGATGCCGGGGTGGGACCTTATGAGGTAAGGCCGTCCTGCCGTCCCATCTCTCTGGACCACGGGTGCTATTCTCTGCTTGGCACGTGCCACCCATACGTGCCCTGTGCCCAGAGGACAGAGCCACAAAGCAGCAGTGAAGTCGCCATGAGTCTGTTGGGACCACGGGGGATGGACAGTGATGAACAGCCCACAAGTGTATGTGAACAAACAAGTGAGCAGGGAAGCCGCCAGGGGACTGGCGGTGCCCACCGACCAGCTCAGCCCTTGGCTCAGAGGACACGATTTGAAGGCCCATTAAACAAATTTCCAAGACATGATCTCACCTGGGGGCTGGGGCGGCAGCCCGGCAGGTAGGGCGTTTGCCTTGCACGTGGCCGACCTGGCCGCTGGGGTTCGATATCTCTTCCCCTCTCGGAGAGCCAGGCAAGCTACTGAGAGTGTCTGGCCCGCATGGCAAAGCCTGGCAAGCTCCCCGTGATGTATTCGATATGCACTGCCATACACGGTAACACAGTAACAAGTCTCACATGGAGACCTTACTGCATTGGCATACACAGTAACACAGTAACAAGTCTCACTACGGAGACGTTACTGGGCCCAAGAAAATCAAGGAACAATGGGAGGACAGTGATACAGTGATACACCTGGGGGCACTGGGCCACAGACCCAGTGGCCCAGGGGTTGCATACTTAAGCGATTCAGTTGGGTCACAGTCACGGTCCTCCTGTTATTCATCGATTTTCTCGAGCGAGCCCAGTAACGTCACTGTGAGACTTTTTTTGGTTACTGTGTTTGGCATATCGAATACGTCACGGGGAGGTTGCCAGTCTTTGCCATACGGGCGAGATAGTCTCGGCAGCTTGCCGGGCTCTCCGAGAGGGGCGGAGGAATCGGACCTGGCTCACCCAGGACCGGCTGCGCGCAAGGCAAACGCCCTACCACTGTGCTATCACTCCAGCCCAAGCAATTCAGTTCTGTTTTACAGTTTGTTTTCAGTTTGTGAAAGACGTGGGAGCGATAATACAAGGGAAAGGGGTGCACGGCTGACCTGGGTTCGGTCCCCGGCACCCCGGATGGTCCCTCGAGTTCCTCCAGGTGTGATGCCTGAGCACTGTGGCTTTAAAAAAGAAAAAGAAAAAACATCGGGAAGAAGTTAGAGGTTAAGAGTAGCAGGTCAAGCTTAAGTAACGTGATACTTCTGTTAAAAGCCTGAGCACGTCTGAAAAGGGCTATGAGCAGAATCATACTTGCATTTGGCTAAAAACAGACTCTTGAAGTCTGAATCACTGTCACACCACTCACTGTTCATTGATTTGCTTGAGCGGGCGTCAGTGGCGACTCAATTACGGAGTCCTACGGGCGCCAGTAACGTCTCCGCTACAGCCCTGAGATTTCAGCAGCCTCTCCTTACTCGTCCTGCCGTATTGGAGGCTCTTTTACGGTCAGGGAAATGAGACCCGTTCTCGTTACTGCTTTTGGCATATCGAACACGCCACGGGGAGCCTGTCAGGCTCTGCCGTGTGGAGTCTGGATAAATCTATAAATGATGAAAATTATAAAAAAAAAAACACTACATAAAAATTATTAAAATGGGGCTGGAGCAATAGCACAGCAGGTAGGGTGTTTGCCTTGCACGTGGCCGACCCGGGTTTGATTCCCAGCATCCCATATGGTCCCCCGAGCACCGCCAGGAGTCATTCCTGAGTGCAGAACCAGGAATAACCCCCGGGCATGGCCGGGTGTGACCCAAAAAGCAAAAAAAAAAAAAAAAAATTATTAAAATGTACTTCAGGTTCACTTTTCATGATCTGAGACCCTTGAGCCAAATGAAATATAGTTTGTTGAATTTAGAAATTTAGTGGGCTGAAGAGATAGCCCAGCAGGGAGGGCGTTTGCCTGGCACGCAGTTGACCCGGGTTCGATTCCTCCGTCCCTCTCGGAGAGCCCGGCAAGCTCCCGAGAGTATCCCGCCCGCACGGCAGAGCCTGGCAAGCTCCCCGTGGCGTCTTCGAGATGCCAAACGCAGTCACAACAAGTCTCACCATGGAGACGTTACTGGTGCCCGCTCGAGCAAATCCATGAACAACGGGAGGACGGTGGACAGAAATTTAGTGAGTCAGGGGCTAGAGTGAATGTAAGGAGGCCCAGCAGGAGTGATTCCTGAGCACAGAGCCAGGAGCAGGCACCGAGCACCTCTGGGTGTGGCCCCAAAACTAAAACCAAGGAAAAAACCGACATCATTCCCTTCTGTGACGGTGGTCTCGAACCCTTGCCAATTCCGGGGGGACGGAGACGCCCCGCACACGCTGAGACCCTAACCCTGAGAAGAGACACGAGTCAGGCCCTCGGCGGGAACGTTCCATTCATTTACGTCCGGTTCAGACCCTGCGGGTCACCCACTGGAACCTTCTCCCCTCGTTCACCTGTGCGACTTCTCGAAGAGACGCCTCTGACCACGGACAGACACGTGCCCGGCTCATCTGTGGCTCAAGAAACTTTTATTCTTTTTTTGTTCTTTCTTTTTATTCAAAAGAAGGGTTCCCTATCACAAAAATTAGGTGACGGCACCAGCAGCAGCAGCGGCGAAGTCCAGAGAGCGGCGCTGACGGCGGGGGTTCGAGGGGGCGTCTCCAGGTCCGGAAGGGCGAAGACGGGGAGTCGGGGGGGAGGAGGAGAGTCCGGGGGAGGCGGGAGGCCTCTGGGGAGGGCCCGGCCGCTGCTCCCTTCGCTGGCGCTGCAGACGGGTCTCAGCAGGATCACGGAGCGGACTCGAGTAAACCGTCACACTAACTCCAGCACCTGGTGGGGAGGGAAGGAGTTTAAAACACAGTTTGGTTTTTTTTTTTGCTTTTTGGGTCCTACCCGGTGATGCTCAGGGGTTCCTCCTGGCTCATGCACTCAGGAATCCCTCCTGGCGGTGCTCGGGGGACCCTACGGGATGCTGGGGATCGAACCCGGGTTGGCCGCGTGCAAGGCAGACGCCCTCCCCGCTGTGCCATCGCTCCAGCCTCCAGACTCCTTTTAAGAGTGGCCACACTGGGGTCCAGTGGGGAGGGCCCGGGTCTTGCATGCAGCTAACCCTAGAGCCGGGGCAAGGGTAATCCTTGAGCACTGCATGGTGTGGCCCCAGAACACCACCCAAAAAGGCTGACGTTAGTAGGTGCTGGGGCTACCGTGCCTTCTCCCAGCGGGGCTCAGGGCCCACCTAGGGATGGAGAATGAGCTCAGAGCACAAAGGCGCCGGGTATGTAAGGATCCCTCAAGCGGCGCCCCCCAGACGACCCTTCCGCGCCACTCAGAACCCCCTGAAGATGGCGACTGATTGATTTCACTGGCAAAGAGTTCAGAGTGATGAAGCGAGGCAAGACCAGGCCCTTCCCTCATGTTCCACCTCACGGCCCACCATTCAGCACGGCAGTGCGTTAGTTATCAGAAATAGTTTACGTGTTAAAGGTGATGAAGCGACAACTGAAAGAAACGAGAACTATAAAATTGCGAGTGAAGAATGGGCTGGTTAAAGAAACTTTGGTACGTCCATACAATGGAATACTATGCAGCTGTTAGAAAAGATGAAGTCCTGGACTTCGCATATAAGTGGTTCGACCTGGGAAGTACCATGCTAAGTGAAACGAGTCAGAAAGAGAGAGAGAGAGACAGACAGACATAGAAAGATTGTGCTCATTTGTGGAAGATAAGGCTACAGAATGGGAGACTAACATCCAAGAATAGTAGAGGTAAGTACCAGAAGGATCACTCTACAGCTTAGAAGCCGGCCGCACATGCTGGGGGAAAAGGCAGCTCAGATAGAGAAGGGAGCACCAAGTAAAGGGTGCTGGGAGGATCCTCCCAGGATGGGAGATGCGTGCTGAAAGTAGACTCTAGACCGAACATGATGGCCACTCGATGCCTCTTTTGCAAACCACAACACCCAAAAGGAGAGAAAGAACAGAAGGGAATGCCCTGCCACAGAGGCAGGGTGGGATGGGGGATGGGGGGTGGGAGGGATACTGGGATCCGTGGTGGTAGGAAATGGGCACTGGTGGAGGGATGGGTGTTCGATCATTGTATAATTGAAACCCAAGCACAAAAATTTGTAAGTCTACAATTGTACCTCACTGTGTCTCACTAATAAAATTTAAAGAAGAAAAAAACAAATGGAGCCACGCGGCACCTGGCCCTGGAGAACGCTTTCTAGTCTTCCGGCTCCTCCTCCTGCACGCCCTCTGCACCCACTCAGTATCATAAATACCGTCATCATCTCGGCAGCGGCAAGGAGCCTTGTCTCTGCCCCTTCAATCACAGTTCCTTCCGAGCACCCGGAGACCCGTGATTTGGCAAGATCGCGGTATCTGTGCCTTGTGTGCTGGCCTGGCGCATGCCGGGCGGGCGTTGCAACGGAGACGGGAGAAAGAGCTTACCTTGATCGTGCCCTGACTGTTAGCAGCAATCAGCACACTGGACTCCTGGAAGAGAAGGAGGAGAGCTTTTAAAAGACAAGAGGAGGGTTTCTGGGGGCTGGAGCGACAGCACAGCGGGGAGGGCGCTGGCCTGGCACGCGGCTGACCCGGGTTCGATTCCCAGCATCCCCGAGGGTCCCCCGAGCACCGCCGGGAGTGATTCCTGAGTGCAGAGCCAGGAGGAACCCCTGTGCATCGCCGGGTGTGACCCAAAAAGCCAAAAAAGAAAAAAAGAAAAAAAGAGGAGGGTTTCTGGCTGGCCCGCCCAAGAAAGCAGCCTTCTCCTCCTCCTCTCTTATTTTTGGGGGGTCACACCCAGCGATGCACAGAGGTTACTCCTGGTGGTACTCGGGGGGCCATATGGGATGCTGGGAACTGAACCTAGGTCGGCCGTCCTACCCGCTGTGCTACTGCTACAGACCCCATCCTCTTTTCTTAAGCCCCTCTCAGATGCCAACAGAATTTCAAGCAAAACACCAACTTGAACATCCTCCCCTCCCCTCCCCTCCCCTTCCTTCCTTCCTTCCTTCCTTCCTTCCTTCCTTCCTTCCTTCCTTCCTTCCTCTCTCTCTCTTTCTGGGTTACACCCAGCGATGCTCAGGGCCGACTCCTGGCTCTGCACTCAGGAATCACTCCTGGTGGTGCTCGGGGGACCCTCTGGGATGCCGGGGATCGAACCCGGGTTGGTCGCGTGCAAGGCAAACGCCCTCCCCGCTGTGCTCTCGCTCCGGCCCCTTAAACATCCTGTCAACTACGACTTTGAGACCCCCAAGTCCCTCGTGTTCAGGATTAGGTTTGTCACGGAAGTCAAACGGAATCAGAGCAGGTGACTTCCGGTTGTCAAGGCAGGGAGGAGAAACAGATTCCCGGGAGGAGGGATATGGCAAAGGCGGAAACGCAACACTTAAGACGAATAAGCAGCGAAGACAAAATCCCCGTCTTCCCCACCAGAACCCACTTCCGTTCACTTCCCCCCAAGAAACGTCACTCTCCGTCTCCGTCTCCATCTCGGACATGAATCTCTCTTGGACGGCTCTCTGGCAGTGAGCGACAACAAAAACAACGTAGATATTTATCTGGGAGAAGGAAGGTGATCTTTCTGTTTAATTATTCGATCACTCAGCACATGCATTTTCAACAGCCTCAGTGACTACTTGGAATAGGAGGTATGTGGCAACATGTTCTTCTTTTTTTTTTTTTTGCCTTTTGGGTCACACCCGGCGATGCTCAGGGGTTCCTCCTGGCTCTGCACTCAGGAATTACTCCTGGCAGTGCTCAGGGGGCCATATGGGGTGCTGGGGATTGAACCCAGGTTGGCCGCGTGCAAGGCAAACACCCTCCCCGCTGTGCTATCGCTCCAGCCCTGACGTATTTTTTAAGATATCCTAAACCTTGGAGTGGGGGAAATTATTTCTTTGGGAAGGAGGAAGGATGGGAGAGAAATGAGCTCATTTAGGCAGAGAACCTCAGAGAGGAGGAACGCGGAGGTTATTCTTCCTGTTGGGGACAGAACAGCCGGCTTGACAACTCGAACGTATACTTGAAATCTGGGGCCAGAACGATAGTTCAGCGGGGAGGGCACTTGCCTGGCAGAGACTTTTGGGCACCCCCTGGCACCCTGTATGGCCCTCTGGGCACTAACGGAGTAATTCCTGAGCACTGGGTTTGGAGAAAGCCTTGAGTTCTCCCGGGTGTGGCCGCCAAACTGTATCACTGTCATCCCGTTGTTCATCGAGTGACTCGAGCGGGCGCCAGTAACGTCTCCATTCGTCCCAGCCCCGAGATTTTAGCCAGCCTCTCCTTACTCGTCCATCCCAACGCTGCCGTATTGGGGGCTCTTTCAGGGCCAGGAACGAGACCCGTTATGGTGACAGTTTTTGGCATATGGAATACGCCACGGGGAGCTTGCCAGGCTCTGCCGTGCAGGCGGGATACTCTTGGTGGCTGGCCGGGCTCTCTCTCTATATCTATATCTCTATCTATTTCCTTTCATGGTTTGTTGCCTACTGTCGGAACCTCATGAAACATGGTGTGGTAATTATGGAAAATGGGTAGGAAGTTTCTTATGATGTGTCTCGTGGCCCTGAATGCAAAAAACAGCCCCAAACGAAAAAATCAATCAATCAATCAATCAATCAATAAGCAAGCAAGCAAGCAAAAACCCAGCCAAGAGGCGCTGCCCGATTCTCTGTTTTCTTATCAAGTCTCCTGTGTCGAGTCAAACTTTCATAGACATTAAACGGACACTCTGCGCTGGATTAATCTGCATCCGCTTCAATTTCGGACCCAATGAGGTGGGTGGACAACATGATTCTGTCACCTTGGCTCTGTTCCCAGCTGCGGTTTCCCAGCGGGTCAGCGTCCGGATTCTCGGAGCCGTGGCCGGGAGGGAGGAATCGTCTCCGGATTTGTTCTGGAGGGTTCTGCAGGGTCCCAGCTGTGGCCTGACCATGCACGCACGGGTCTAGTGGCCCGCCCTCGCTCCCCGGGGAGCAAGAAAAGAAATGAGGGATTTGGGGCCCTTTGAGGCAGGATGAGACCCATTGTCTTTACTGCCTCGTCTGCCAAGGCATCGAAAATCAGATGGGCTGGACACGTAATGCGATTTGGAGACGACCGCTGGACTAGAGCCGTTACCGACTGGATTCTACGGGACGTCAAAAGCCCACATGGCCGCCCACCTGCGAGATGGTCAGGCTTCTTCGTTAAGACCCTGAACGATCGGTTTGAGGCTCTTCGTATTCCTGGAACGAGCAGACGCCATGGGGCTACGCTAGCAGGTGACAGGAGTGAATGGAGACGTTACTGGTGCCCGCTCGAGCCAATCGATGAGTAACGGGATGTCAAATGACCAAGTGAGGCAGGATGCTGGTGGGTACCAGGGGCGCTTACTCGGGCACTCGATGCCGAGAGCGAGGGGCTTCTATGACCAGCACCCAGAGCAGCAGAGAGCACTGCAGCGTCAGGCTGACGGAAACGAGAGCAGAGGGCTCCTGCCTCCGGCACTTCCAGAACTTTCTACAAAGGAGAAAGGGACCTGGGGGGAGGGAAGTGGGGTTCCTCTGGGAGAGGGGAGACTCCCCCTCCACCGGGTCTGGGATTCGGGGCCACGGGGTGCTTCCCTTTTTTCTGGAAGGAAGGAGTCCTCGGGAAAGGGCGCAACCTGTCACCTAGCACGGAGAGGAGCCCGGAACCCCGAAGGAAAGCGGCACCTGAGAGGGCGGGAACACTGGCCAATCGCCTCGGTGACACCTTGGGACAAGCATGGGACTTACAGGGGCGACCAAACGCGATGTTCCCACCATTTCCCCGTGGTAAAGATGAATTCGGCAGCTGCCCAAAGCAGTTGTCCGGCTGCACCTCATTTGCTCGGATCACTGAGTCAAGAAAGCGACGGGCTTCCAGCTGGGGTCACTGGTTCCCCCTTTCCTTTTTCTTTTCTTTTTTTTCCTTTTTGGGTCCCACCCGGCGATGCTCAGGGGTTCCTCCTGGCTCTGCACTCAGGAGTCACTCCTGGCGGTGCTCAGGGGACCCTATGGGATGCTGGGAATCGAACCCGGGTCGGCCGTGTGCAAGGCAAACGCCCTCCCTGCTGTGCTATTGCTCCAGCCCCCAGGGTTCTCGTTTTTGTTTTGTTTTATTGCTTTTTGGGTCCCACCCGGCGATGCTCAGGGCTGACTCCTGGCTCTGCACTCAGGAATCACTCCTGGCGGTGCTCGGGGGCCCCTATGGGATGCTGGGAATCGAACCCAGGTTGGCCATGTGCAAGGCAAACACCTTCCTCCTTCCTCGATGTATTAATTGCTCCAGCCCTTGTATCACCTTTTAAACACCATGATACTTTGTATCACCCATTAAACACTATGATACTTTGTATCACCTTCAAAACACTATGACACTTTGTATCACTTTGTCTTTTTTTTTCCTTTTTGGGACACACCCTGAGATGCACAAGGGCTACTCCTGGCTCTGCGCTCAGGAATCACTCCTGGCGGTGCTCAGGGGACCCTATGGGATGCTGGGGATCGAACCCTGATCTGTCGCGTGTGAGGCCAATGCCCTCCCTGCTGTGCTGTCACTCTAGCCCTGGTTTTCAAATTTTTTTTTTTGGGGGGGTCCACACCCGGCAATGCTCAGGGCTGACTCCTGGCTCTGCTCTCAGGAATTACTCCTGGCCGTGCTTGGGGGACCCTAGGCGATGCTGGGAATTGAACCCGGGTCGGCCGCGAGCCAGGCAAATGCCCTCCCCGCTGTGCTATGGCTCCGGCTCCTCCCCTTTCCCTTTTCCTTTAAAAAATATAGATTCATTAGTATCCTTGTGTAAGAAATACACACGAACAACAATCCCAACTGTATGAAAGAACAGGAAAAGTGACGGCGACTTCTCTGTGCCCTCATTAGGGTCTGTGCTAGAAAGCTGATGAGGCAGGCGGGTTCCCTTGGGGTTTTATTGAGGAAGAAAAGCCGAGACCCTCGCTCTGTCCGAGGGCGTTACCGTTTCCAAGTGACAGAGCCGAGGGGACGGCCACTGAGCCACTATCCGCAGTGCCGTCTCGACTCGGTGCAAACGCTGTGGAGCTAGCCAGTGGGAACTGACGCGCGCCCTGGTGGGCAGCGACAAGCCGGTGAGCGAGCTTTCCCCCTGAGGCGTCCACTGCGGTGACGCCGGCCACCCATCCCCCCTCTTCCCACAAGCACCGAGGCACGACGGAAATGGTCCATCAGCCCATCGAAGAGACGGCGCGGGCAATTCTCCCTCCCGGGGACTCCGATCTGAGGACGGTGCCCCCTCAGACAAAAATCAAGAGCCAGAGAGCCACAAACGTCAACCGGTCCTCAACGACCCACAAGCTACCTCCCAGCTCTTGACGATTCTCTCTACGGAGTCTCTTGGTCACAGCGGACACACCTCTTTCCTACAAACCCCGATCCCTTCTTTTTCTCACTGCCAGGAAAAAGGGTGTCAACCTGAAGAACTACGACATAACGGTGAGAAATAAGAGAAAGAAAAAGAAAGCCCAAACTGATTTCTTATTCTTTGCATGTTTCACGCGTCATCCCGTTGAGCATCGATTTGCTCGAGCGGGAGCCAGTAACGTCTCCATCCATCCCGGCCCTGAGAATTTCGCAGCCTCTCCTGACTCGTCCTTCCCAACGCCGCCGGATTGGAGGCTCTCTCAGGGTCGGGGGAACGAGACCCGTCATGGTGACTGTTTGGGGCATATCGAATCCGCCACGGGGAGCTTGCCAGGCTCTGCCGTGCGCCTGGCATGTAATTCTAGAGAATTATGAATCGGATTTTCCTGTCTGGGGGCCGGCAGGAAGGGTGGTCCTATTTGCATTCGAAAGGCTCCTCCAATCGTGAAACAGTCTCTCTCCTCCACAGGCTGGGTAGTGTCCAGTGGGGCTTTCCCCGCTGACCCTGTGGGTCCTCCCCGCTTCTCCTCTCGGCGTCTCTACAGCTGCCGTGTGGAACTCCAACTCTCCCCCAGGGCCCCTCTGATTTCAAGGCAAAAGACAGAAAATTAAAGCGCGCCCCTTTCTGTGTTTCATTTTATGGAGCCGGAGGACCTTTCCCCAACCCACGTCCTCCTTCCTTTATGCAGAACACCTTGTTCGAGATCTTCTCTTTGATCAAGTCTCTTATCTTCCGATCTCCCAGTCAGCAAGCATTTCACACTGGTCTGGACCCCACAGGTCAGGGGTCTGGGGACGTGGGCAGTGTTCGCCGACCGTCAGGCAGACAGACCTGCCCAACACGGGCAGTTGTGAGTCCCAGCCAAGAGCAGCGACGCTGGTTCCAGGAGAGTCTTCAGAGGTTTGGAATAAAAAACATCCGATGCCGGGGCTGGAGCAATAGCACAGCGGGGAGGGCGTTGGCCTGGCACGCGGCCGACCCGGGTTCAATTCCCAGCATCCCATAGGGTCCCCCGAGCACCGCCAGGGATGATTCCTGAGTGCAAAGCCAGGAGTAAGCCCTGAGCATTGCTGGGCATGACTCAAAAAAGAAAAAAAAAAATCTGATGCCAAATAGTCTGTCTCTGTCTGTCTTTCTTTCTTTCTTTCTTTCTTTCTTTCTTTCTTTCTTTCTTTCTTTCTTTCCTTCCTTCCTTCCTTCCTTTCTTTTTTGGCTCTTGGCCTTTATTCTTCTGGCCTTTGTTTCAGTATGTCTTGTTCTGTCTTTTCCAGAATTGAGCTGGGTTTTCGATATACATACACAACCTACAAACCTATCAAAAAAGATCTTCTCTTTGAAATGGCAGTCGGCTCTCCTGACATGTATAAAACACGTCAAGGAGGAATGAGTTAGATGTCTGAAACAAATGAAATCTGAAATTTAGAATCTTTTTTTTTTTTTGGCTTTTTTATTTGGGGTGAGTCACACTCGGCGATACACAGGTGTTATTCCTGGCTTTGCACCCAGGAATGACTCCAGGCAGTGCTCAGGGGACAATATGGGATGCCGGGGATCGAACACGGGTCGCCGCATGCAAGGGAAATGCCCTCCCCGCTGTGCTATCGCTCCAGCCCCTGAATTTAGAATCTTAAGATTCTCGCTTTATGATGTTGTCTCATTTTTTTTTTTATCTTACAGAAACATTCAAATCACCTGCTATCTATGGAACAAAAAGTTTTGTACTGGGCAGAGGTGAACGTCTCTGAAGAAAAGCCTTTCTTCTTAGGAAAAGAAGCAAGAACTTTTCTTGAGTGCGGACGCACCCAATTTTCAATGCCAGGCTCCAGTTGAAGCAGGTCGGAGTATTTACTGGCTCTGGACAACCTTTTAACATATTTCGCGAGCGTTAACTTTAGATCTCCGGGGCTCTAATCCTGCTCGGAACTAGAACACGCCCCACGTCAGACCCCCCAAGAATCAATGCAATCTCTGATCACTCAGTTATTTTAAAAATTCCGCCCGGTCCAGCAAAAGAAATATTCTACAGAAGGTATGCTGCTCTTCTCGGGTCTTATCAACCTACGGTCTGCAAAATACAACGTCTGATTTCTTCCCCCAGGCAGCCCTGAAACTCTGAAATAATTACAGTTCTTCCTTTTTATCCAAGCGCTGAAATGACTTATTTTAGTTCCGTGTCCTTATGTGTGATATGTCGAGCTGGGAAACAGATGAGGCCCGAGCCCCTGTGTGAATACGGTCCCAGTCACTTCCTGTAGAATGCTGGGCTCCCAACCTTATGACACCCCGGGCCTCAGCCGATCTGATAAAACGAGAATGGAACGGTGAAAATGGGAAGTGGAGGAGAGAACCGAAGTTCTCATCCATTATACATAGGGATGTTACATTTCCAATCTCATCCACCTACGCCCCGAAAAGTTTAATATGCAGAATCTGATCTTGTACCGACTGCCCTGTGATTTCAAGTGGGATCGTTAGAGGAAAGTCCCAGAACAAAGGTGGGAGGCAGTGGGGGGCCAGTTTCCTGCATGAGGCTGTCCAGGCCATTCCCTGGTCCCTGCCTGGCAACTTAGATCCCCGACACTAGGGTTTATCAAAGAGGAACTGGCCTCCTCACGGGTAAGCGGGCTCAGGGTGATCCTCAATTCCTTTCTTTTTTTTTTTTCTTTTTGGGTCACACTCTCTGATGCTCAGGGCCGACTCCCGGCTCTGCACTCAGGAATCACTCCTGGTGGTGCTGGGGGACCCTATGGGATGCCGGGGATCGAACCTGGGTCGGCCGCTTGCCAGGCCAGCGCCCTCCCCGCTGTGCTATCTCTCCACCCCGCCCCCCCCCCCCAGTCCCTTTCTAACGTTACCTTATGAAGATGATTATGAATGGAATGAAGCCATCAAATGCTGGAATACGTTAGTAAGACGTATTTCCAAAGAGCTGAATGCTTTCCCTGCCTCAAATGCCTGTCCTTAGCACTACTCACGTAAGAGGAGGGGATTATCACTGTATCACTGTCGTCCCGCTGTTCATCGATTTGCTCCAGCGGGCACCAGTAACGTCTCCATTCGTCCCGGCCCTGGGATTTTCGCAGCCTCTCCGTACTCGTCCTTCCCAACGCTGCCGTATTGGGGGCTCTTTCAGGGTCAGGGGAATGAGACCCTGTTATGGTGACTGTTTTGGGCATATCGAATCCGCCACGGGGCGCTTGCCAGGCTCTGCCGTGTGGGGTTACCGTGCTAAGGAGCACAAGTAAAAGGGGGAGGGAGGGGCACAGAAAATCTGGGTTCATCAAAATCTAGGGTTTCATCAAAAGAATGGCCACAGTCAAACTAGAACTTCTACAGGAACCAGAAAAATCAGGACACGAAATGCAACTTCTCACCCACTGAACACAGGTTAGGAAAGCTACCAACCAGGACCTACATGCTCGGCCTGAAGGGACACAGCTGGGGCCTGCTTCCAGCATATTCTGGGACCGTGCCTCGGTCCAGAGCTCACCTGAAACGCACTCAGCCCCCCACACCGCCTCTGACCATTAAGCCCCAACCATGAAAGCCTGGCACGCATCAACGAAGACTATGGTTTCGAAATTGAGTACGGGGGGGGGGGGGGGGGGGGGCTGGAGCGAGAGCACAGCGGGGAGGGCGTCTGCCTTGCACGCGGCCGACCCGGGTTTGGTCCCCGGCATCCCACTGGGTCCCCCGAGCAATGCCAGGAGGGATTCCTGAGTGCAGAGCCAGGAGGAACCCCGGTGCATCTCCGGGTGTGACCCAAAAAGCAGTAATAATAATAATAATGATGATGATGATGATGTAGCACTGTCCTCCCGTTTATCAATTTGCTCAAGCGGGCCCAGTAACATCTCCATTTTGAGACATCTTGTTACTTTGTTTGGCATATAGAATACGTCATAATAATAAGAGATGAGAGGAAGGGAGAGGAGGAGGAGGGGGGAGGGAAGAGGGAGAGGGAGGAAGAGGGAGAGAGCCCATAGCACAGCAGGGAGGGCGTTCGCCTGGCATGCGGCCGACCCGGGTTCGATCCCCGGCATCCCATAGGGTCCCCTGAGCACCGCCAAGAGTGATCCCTGAGTGCAGAGCCAGGAGTCAGCCCCGAGCATCGCCGGGTGGGACCCAAAAAGCCAAAAAAGAAGAACAACCAAATTGGGTATAGAAACGCTAAGAAGCAGTTTCCCCACGGTCATTTCTGACATTTGGTTGAGGACATAAACGATCACACAGACCAGACGTTAGAAAACATCCTTCCTCCCCCTTTTCTCTCGTTTTTGGGCCACATGCAATGGATCTCAGGGCTGAGAGATCACTCACAGCAGAGCCGGGGATCGAACTCAGGATGGCCACAGGCAATACAGCCTGACCCACTGTTCTACCTCTCCAGACTCAGTAAAACTATCGACAAATCAGTTCTCAATGAGAACAACTCGGGGCTAGCGCAGCAGGGAGGCATTTGCCTAGCACGTGACTAATCTGGGTTTGATTCCCAGCAGCCCATAGGGTCCTCTGAGCACCGCCAGGAGTAACCCCTGTGCATCACCGGTGTGACCCAAAGAGAAAAGAAAAAGAAAAACAGCAGATAGGCATGGGGACATGTCCCTGATCACCAACATTCTGTTTGTTCTGGGACCACACCCGGCCAAGCAGAGCCAGGAGGAACCCCTGTGCATCACCAGTTGTGACCCAAAAAGCAAAAAAAAAAATCACGTAAGACATTAAAAAAAAATTCGTTCAGATGGATGCAGAAGGAAGTTCTCTGATGTCTCTTAATGATCCAGCATCAAGATTTTCGACCAGGGGTCTGGTGCTGATCTCGAGAAGGAGAAAGCAAGAGTCTTCAATAAAATCCGACACGAAGTGGCCGGACGCAAGTGTGGGCACCAAGTACGGCGGGCAGGGTGCTGGCCTTCCGTGTGGCCGGCCCGGGTTCAGGGCCCAGCCGAGGAGTACGCCCGGAGTACCTCCAAGTGTGGTCCCCCAACAGTAACAACAGACAAGCCAAAAATCTCAACGCGGCGTCAGGGAAGGCGGGACTTGGTGTGCGGGTTTCCAGGCTGTCTTGTGTGGAGGGGAACGATCCGACTTAGCAGCTAGTCTAAGTCAGACAGAGACCTCCGTGTTTCTGTAGGACACTGCGATCTGTAGACAGACGACAGATTTCCATCTGCCTACACGGTTGATTCCTGCAGGTTCCATTTGTGGTTTGCGTCATTACTTAGAAGTCTTGGGGCCAGAGCGATAGCACGGGGGGAGGGCGTTGGCCTGGCACGCGGCCGAGCGGGGTTCGATCCCCGGCATCCCACAGGGTCCCCTGGGCACCGTCAGGAGTGATTCCTGAGTGCAGAGCCAGGAGGAACCCCTGAGCATCGCGGGGTGTTGCCCAAAAAGACAAAAAAAAAAAAAAAAAAAGTCGCCTTTTATGATTCAATCTTCCCTATGTTGGCCTCGTGACTGCATCAAACTCATTTAAATACACTTTAATGCATTAAAAAAAAGTAACAGGGGGGTAAAAACTGGGTTCAGATAATAGAAAAAGAGCCATTAAAAAGGCACACGGGGGCTGGAGCAATAGCACAGCGGAGAAGCCGTTTGCCTTGCACGCGGTGACCCGGGTTCGATTCCTCCGTCCCGCTCAGAGAGCCCAGCAAGCTCCCGAGAGTATCCCGCTCGCACCACAGAGCCTGGCAAGCGTCCCGTGGCGTATCAGAGACGCCAAACACCGTAACGCAAGTCTCACCATGGAGACGTTACTGGTGCCCACTCGAGCAAATCGATGAACAACTCCACTTGTAGGTTTTTTTTTTTTTGGTCACACCCGGCGATGCTCAGGGCTGACTCCTGGCTTTGCGCTCAGGAATGACTCCTGGCTGTGCTCGGAGGACCCTATGGGATGCTGGGAATCGAACCCGGGTCCGCCGCGTGCGAGGCCAGTGCCCTCCCTGCTGTGCTCTCGCTCCAGCCCCTTCACTCATAGTTTCAAAAGCACGAACAAATGACAAGTGTGAGGAAACGTGTATTTGCAACCGAAAAGGGCAACTTTCTTGTTAAGAACTTAAACGTGCTTAGACTCTGCCCTGAAGTCGGGTTTAAGGAGATGTTCCGTATAGGTCACTCGCCTCCAGGGACCGACAGCAAATTATCTGCCTCCTAATTGACCACCAGGGTGAGATGAATTATTAATGGAGCTGCGCACGTGACGGTGAAGGAAAGAACCAAGACACCGGGTACCCGGGAGAAATCCCCAGTCTTAGGGGAGACAGAGACAACACAGGAAGCGCCACAAAATCTCGTCTGGGGCCTCCCAGGTACCAGCTCCACAGCTCACGGGTCACCCGCTGCCTGGGCGGTACAATTCTATGCAGAAAATAAACTGCCGCATCCTGCGAAAAACGTTTATTCCAAACTTCCCAGGGGCTCACCAGCATCTCGCGTGAGCATCGAGGGCGTCGGGAAGCCCCGGCTGAGAGCAGACTTACCCCGTCGGGCAGCGCCCTCCAGCACACGGCGCTGACAAACTCGTTCGTGTCGTCCTCTTTCCGGTCTTTGTCCAGAACGCTCTTGACCGTGTCGAACTTAAAAGTTAACAAAGTCTTAGAAAGTCCTTTATAATACAGGTAAAGAGAGTTGTTCTCGCTTCCTGAAATTTGAAAAAAAAAGTTTGTAATGAAAGGACGAAAAATTCGGAAAAGCGTTTGTAAGGTAATTACCCTTCAGTGCTTAATCAAGCTCAAAGGCGAATTAAACCGGAGGATAATGTTGGTTTGTCCTTTCTGCCTTGCCACAGGGAGGTTAGGTTTATTGGGTTACTCCCATCACAGTGCTCCCATTCCTCTGTGTTTATTTGTAACCTCTTTTTTTTTGTGTTCTGCTTTCCCTACCGGTCAATCACCTTTATCTCCTAATCAGACTCTGTTAACTTGTAAGCTTTTCTCTTCCACCTAAGTCCTTTGCATGGTTAATTCAGACCAATGTCCCTTTTGTGTAGACACAGGACGACAGTCAATGCTACCTTAACGGACTCTGAATGATCTTCACTCCCGGGCATCTGTTCTTTCAATTTAAGCCTCAGTTGCCCTAAATTCCTAGCACTCCAAGAGCAGGGTCCTGATGAGGGATTAGATGGACCCAGGGCAAGCTGTGAGCTACCCTGTCATTGAAATGGGCCAGGCCACAGCGCCATCATACTTAACTCTAAGTCAAGAGCGTGGTCATGGGCGTGTTCTGTCATGATCCAAAACGTAACAACTAGATTAGGACCCCGTTAGGATTAGGAAAGATTAATAAGACCTGAGCACTTTAGTCTGAAATCTGTATCGAGCTGTCCTCAGGAGAGCCACCCGATAAGCTTACTGCGACTCTTTCTGCGTCCACACAAAATGAAGTAGAATTAAGACGTCAATTAAGATGTTAATTAAGTCATTGGACTAAGGAAAGAAGAAAACCACCTTAAGTGGCATTTTGCCCTTGAGCCGAGGAAGAGCTTCTCGGGTTCCTCAGGAGTCACTGCTGGCGGTGCTCAGGGGACCCTGTGGGAAGCTGGGAATCGAACCCGGGTCGGCTACGTGCAAGACAAAACCCGCTGCGCCATCGCTCCAGCCCCAGAGCAGGAAGGGTTTTTACATGCTGATCGTGCTACCACGGCAAAGGCGGAGGTTGGAGAGGAAGGGGAGAGACCGAGGCCAGCCTGAGTGCGGCGAAGATGAGCGAGGGAGTCGGGAGGAGACGGGAACGAGAGAGACGGGAGCAGGCGCGCGGGGAGAACGGAGCGACCAGCAACTAACCACCAACCAGCATGGCGGTCCTGTCCCTTCCAGCATGCACCTGCCGGTGGAGAGGGGAGGCCGGGGTGGGGAAGAGGCCCGAAACCACAGAACGCAGGCGGCGAGAGAGCCGTGGGCTGCCTAGTCACCTCGTGAATACACAATAGAGGAGAGTTCAATGTGCGAGGGCCGGAATGACAGCACAACGGGGAGGGTGCCTCTGGCCTGGCATGCATCTGACCTGGGTTCGATCCTCGGCAGCGCCTACGTTCGGTCCCTCAAACCCCTGCCAGGAGTGCTCCCTGAGCACAGAGCCAGGAATGAGTCCCGAGCACCAGTGTTTGGCCCACCCAAAGCAAAACCCAATAAATTGGGGAAAAAAAACCCAAAAAACATTTCAGGCTGTCTTGCAAATTGTGTCAGGAAAAGAGGAAATGCGGAAAATGTTTGCTCCATCACTGTTGTCCCGTTGTTCATCGATTTGCTCCAGCGGGCACCAGTAACGTCTCCATTCGTCCCGGCCCTGGGATTTTCGCAGCCTCTCCTGACTCGTCTTTCCCAACGCTGCCGTACTGGAAGCTCTTTCAGGGTCAGGGGAATGAGACCTGTTATGGTTACTGTTTGTATATATAAAAACAATAACTGCTGCTGTTTTAATGGGTCTCATTCCCCTGACCCCATCGAAAAATGGGGAGAAGAAATGAACAAAAACCTCCTCAAGGGCTGGAGTGATAGCACAGCGGGGAGGGCGTTGGCCTGGCACGCGGCCGACCCGGGTTCAATCCCCGGCATCCCAGAGGGTCCCCCGAGCACCACCAGGAATGATCCCTGAGTGCAGGCCCTCCCGTTGATCATCGATTTGCTCGAGCGGGCCCAGTAACGTCTCCATTGGAGACTTTGTTGTTACTGTGTCTGGCATATCGAATACTCTCGGTAGCTTGCCGGGCTCTCCGAGAGGGGCGGAGGAATCGAACTCGGGTCGGCCATGTTGGCTGCGTGCAAGGCAAACGCCCTACCCGCTGTGCTATCGCTCCAGCCCCCCCTGAGTGCAGAGCCAGGAGTAAACCCTGAGCATCGCCGGGTATGACCCCCCCAAAAAAAAGCCACAAAAAAAAAAAAAGGAAAAAGAAAATTCTTCAAAAAAGAAATACAAATGGCCAAAAGGCACATGAAAAAATGCTCTACGTCACTCATCATCAGGGAGATGCAAACCAAAACAACAACGAGATATCATCTCATATCACAGAGACTGGCACACATTCAAAAGAGCAAGATCAACCAGTGCTGGCAGAGATGCGGGGAAAAAGGGACTCTCTTTCATTGTTGGTGGGAATGCTGACTGGTCCAGCCCTTCTGGAAAACAATACGGGCATTTCTCAAAAAAAAAAAAAACTAGAAGTTGAGTTTCCATATGACCTAGCGATATCACTTCTGGGAATATACCCCAGGGTGCAAAACAGCACACTACAAATGACGTCTGCACCTGTATGTTCACTGCAGCACTGTTCACAAGATCCAGAATCTGGAAACCACCTGAGTGCCCAACTGAGTGCTAATAGTGCCCAACCTGACCGGTTGAAGAAACTCGGGCACATCCGCACAGTGGAACAATACTATGCAGCTGTTTGGAGAGATGAAGTCATGAAATTTGCTTCTGAGTGGATGGACGTGGAGAGTATCGTGCTCAGTGAAATGAGTCAGAAAGAGATGGACAGACATAGAAGGACTGCACTCATTTGTGGGATCTATCTGTCATTGTCCTCCCATTGTCCATCGATTTGCTCGAGCAGACCGAGTAATGTCTCCACTGTGATACTTGTCACTGTGTTTGGCATATCGAATATGTCACGAGGAGCTTGCCAGGCTTTGCCGTGTGGGCGAGAGACTCTCGGTAGCTTGCCGGGCTCTCCGAGAGGGGCAGAGGAATCGAACCTGGGTGGGCCATGTCGGCCGCTTGCAAGGCAAGCGCCCTACCTGCTGTGCTATCACTCCAACCCTGAGGGACATAAAATAACATAATATGAGACGGACACCCAAGGACAGTAAACACAAGGGCCAGGAAGATTGCCCCATAGTTGGAAGCCTGCCTCATGAGCTGGGGGAGAAGGCAGCTGGGATAGAGAAGGGATCACTGTGTCAGTGACGGTTGGAGGGATCGCTCGGGATGGGAGATGTATGCTGAAAGCAGATAAAGGACCAAATGTGATAACTTCTCTGTGTTGCAAACCGTAATACCCAAAAGTAGAGAGAGAGTACGGGGGAAATTGTCTGCCATAGAGGCAGGGGGAGGGTGGGAAAGTGGGGGTTAATACGGGGGCCACTGGTGGTGGAGAATGGGCACTGGTGGAGGGATGGGTAGTCGATCATTATATGACTGAAACTCATCTCTCACAGTGATTCATTAGAAAAAAATTTACTTTACAATCAGGCCAGATCAACAGGATAGCAGGTAGGGTGCTAGCCTCGCATCCAGCTAACCCAGATTTTGTCCCGAGCACCCCAGACCGTCTCCCCAAGCTGGCCAGGAGTAATCCCTGAGTGCAAAGCCAGGAATAAGGCCTGAGCAGGCCGGGTGAGGCCAAAGCACCCTCCAGCGACTGGACCCCCAAATTTATATTACAATATTCACAGTCACGGTCCTCCCGTTGTTCATCAGTTTGCTCAAGCGGGCCCAGTAACGTCTCCATTGTGACACTGGTTACTGTGTTTGGCATATCGAATACGTCATGGGGAGCTTGCCAGGCTTTGCCGTGCGGGTGAGATACTCTGGGGAGCTTGCCCTCTAATCGAACTCGGGTGGGCTGCGTGCAAGGCCAACGCCCTACCGCTGTGCTATCGCTCCAGCCCATTACAATATTATTATATCATATTATGGCTGGAGCATTAGCACAGCGGTAGGGCGTTTGCCTTGCGTGCAGCCTGCCCAGCCGAGTTGGGTTCGATTCCTCCGCCCCTCGCGGAGAGCCCGGCAAGCTACCCAGAGTATCTCGCCCGCACGGCAGAGCCTGGCAAGCTCCCTGTGACGTATTCGAGATGCCAAACACAGTAACAGCAAGTCTCACAATGGAGACGTTACTGGGCCCGCTCGAGCAAAACCGATGAACAGGAGGACGGTGACAGATATTACGTTATATTATATATTAATTATGATATTATATGCTACAATAAGAACTCAACTATAAAACATATTAATATCCAGTCTGTGCTCAGCGAAAGGAAGAACTAAAGCGTCTTCACGTACAGTTAAGGAAAAATCAAGGGTGTCAAGGCACCAATCTCAACGCGCTTCCTTCGAAGGCGATGAGTGTTTCCTGTCGGCAAGCCCAGACAGACGCCCGCCGAGCACGCCAACGGGAGCCGCGCTTACCACACGCTATGTAATCCCCGTTGGAAGCAAGGCCGACGAAGTTCTTCTCGTTGATGTGGCCCTTGAAGGAGCGCAGACAGTATGGCTTGCCCACGTTCCACAGCTTGAGCTGGCTGTCCGTCGAGCTGGGGCGGGCAGAGGGGGGACGCGTGTGAGAGGTCCTGGCCCGGAACCCACCGCTACACAACGGGGCGGCTCGGAATGCAGACCCGCGTTTCAATCGACCCTTCGTTCGCTTCTGGCGCTGGGAAAACTAGCCACTACCCTGGCCTTCTGTGTTTCCCTCGTTCAATGAGAAGTACAATTATTTCTAACTTACGGAATTACATAGGCTGGAGCGTTTGCCTTGCACTCAGCCGACCCGGGTTCGATTCCCCCGTCCCTCTCGGAGAGCCTGGCAAGCTCCCGAGGGTGTCCCGCCCGGACGGCAGAGCCTGGCAAGCTCCCCGTGGCGTATTCGAGATGCCAAACGCAGTCACGAGTCTCACCATGGAGACGTGACTGGTGCCCGCTCGAGCAAATCGATGAACAATGTGAGGACGGTGCTCCAGTGCTACAGAATTCGATGAATTCTGAAAGATGTTGATTAAAAATTTCATTTAAAATGCTTCCAATCCTGCCTGGGTCTATAGGAAGTGCCTTCCCGTCCAGGGAAAGGGCCTCATTAACAGTTGTGCTTACTGCAAGACTACATCTCTTCCACGTGATTTGATTTTTTTCAACCACTGAATTGGACTGGCATATTGAATATAAACTATTTTCAGGCATGCAATGCTCTACGTGAATGATTTATATAGTTTGTCTCACTGAAATAATATGTAAATGAATTCATTTGCCAAAAAAAAAAAACCCATATAAAAATTACTGGAACTCCCATCCAAAACTCACAGAAGTTGAATAAACAATCACATTTTCTTTCTCTTTGAATGTGTTACAATAATTGAATTATACTATTCAATGTATAACTGCTTCTCTCTCATCCACCAATTTTTCTTTTCTGTAAAATGCTTAAGGTACTAACCACAGCTAGTAAATGGTTGCGCCAACATCAAAATATCTTCTTTTGAAGACCAAAATCTACCTCCTAAGTTGCTTCTTATTTTTGAAACACTGCATCCGTCCTCAGACATTATACTGTTTTACGCTTTTGATTTTAGCCATGCTAGGGTTCGAACCCAAAGCCTCACAGGTGAGGTCTGTGCTCTCCTGCTAAGCCATACCTCCGACCCACGTATACATATATGTACACATAGATCTTTTACTGGCCAAATGCTCAGGTTAGAACAATTTATGACATTTTAACATTATAAATGGTTTTTTGGGGTGACACCCAGCGACGCACAGGGGTCATTCCTGGTGATGCTCAGGGGACCCGATGGGATGCTGGGAATTGAACCCAGGTCGGCTGCATGCAAGGCAAATGCCCTCCCTGCTGTGCTGTGGCTCCAGCCCCATTATTATAAATGTTTTAATATGACAACTACATATTCAATATTTCCAGAGGGAATCGAGACTGTTTTAAATCATTCTAAGCCTCAAATACGTACGAGAAAAATATCCTAACTCATAAAAATAAAAACAGAAAAAGTTGGTATTTTAACTTTTATAAACTATAAAAACAAATGAGCCATATCACTGAAGTTAACTAAGAGATCCAAATCTGTATAATTTCTCAACTACTTGGAAATCACACGAGATGATTCGACACCAAGAATCTGAAAATATTTTTTGCCAGAAGCTACCAAACATATTTGAATCTGAATAAACCTGTAACAAATTTATTGCGTATTTTTTTGTTCAGTTCGGGGCCACACCTGGAGTACTCAGGAGTTACTCCTAGCTGAGTTCTCAGGAAGTACTCCCGACTGGGCTGGGGTACCATATGGAAAGCTCCGGATTAAATCTGGGTTGGTCACACGTAAGGTACGTGACCGACAAACTGCACAATCTCTCCTGCTCTTACTGCCCCTTTTTTTTTTCTTTTGGGTCACACCTGGCGGTGCGCAGGGGTTCCTCCTGGCTCTGCACTCAGGAGTCGCTCCTGGCGGTGCTCAGGGGACCATATGGAATGCTGGGAATCGAACCCTGGTCGGCCGTGTGCAAGGCAAGAGCGATAGCACAACAGGGAGGGCGTTGGTCTGGCACGCGGCCGACCGGGTTCGATCCCTGGCATCCCACACGGTCCCCCGAGCACCGCCAGGAGTGATTCCTGAGTGCATGAGCCAGGAGTCAGCCCTGAGCATCGCCGGGTGGGACCCAAAAAGTGAATAAATAAATAATTAAAAACGGCAATCAGAATCTTCAGGAGGTTCGTGCCCTTCTGAAGACAGGATACTCACGCGGAGACAATCTCCTCGCCACTCACAAACTTGGCGTAGGAGACGGCTTTCCGGTGTCCCTTGAACACCATGATTGGTTGCTTAGTGTTACGGAGATCATAGTAGTGGACGCAGTGATCTACGACAGAACGAGAAACGGAAAACGCGGGGTCAGAGAGAAGTGAAAAAGCCCGACTCCTTTTCATCAAACGTTACACGACGCCACACCTATTTCCCGCCAGAGAACCAGGGCCCGAGGCTCCTTTTCCAAGACACACGCCTATGGCAGAAATCTGCCTTGATTATTCGTAACAGAGAGTTGCATTGAAAAGTATACATAGGAATGTGTTGGGGCTGGAGCGATGGCACAGCGGGGAGGGCGTTTGCCTTGCACGCGGCCGACCCGGGTTCGATTCCCAGCATCCCATAGGGTCCCCCGAGCACTGCCAGGAGTGATTCCTGAGTGCAGAGGCAGGAGTGCATCGCCAGGTCTGACCAAAAATAAAGGGAAAAACGAAAGTGTATGTGTAAAAGACCACTTAGCAGGCGGATAAGGCCAAGAGTGACTTCCCAAGCATCAAGGCAGGACCACCTTTGGTGCGCAGAAATGTGTACGTGCTCTGAAGGGAAAAATTTACTCTGCTGATCCAACTTTCTAAGATCCTCCGATTTAGGCCTATTTCCCCTTACTGTTATGGCTTTTTACAGTGAACGCTGAGATTGGCCACGTTTATTAATTTCTTTGCCTGTGAGATTTCCCCCCTCCCATTTTATTCAATGTAGCACTGGAGCACTGTCCTCCCGCTGTTCATCGATTTGCTCGAGCGGGCACCAGTAACGTCTCCACTGCGAGACTCGTTACTGTCTTTGGCATCTCGAATATGCCACGGGAAGCTTGCCAGGCTCAGCCGTGCGGGTGGGATACTCTTGGTAGCTTGTCGGGCTCTCCGAGAGGGATGGAGGAATCGAACCCGGGCCAGCCACGTGCAAGGCAAATGCCCTACCCACTGTGCCACCGCTCCAGCCCATTTCAATTGCTTTTCTTTTCTTATTTTTTTTTTTTTTGCTTTTTTGGGTCACACCCGGCAATGCACAGGAATCACTCCTGGTTCTGCGCTCAGGAATCACTCCTGGCGGTGCTCAAGGGACCACACGGGATGCTGGGAATCGAACGTGGTCAGCCGCGTGCAAGGCCAACGCCCTCCCCGCTGTGCTATCGCTCCAGCCCATTTCAATTTCCATTTCATTCAATACTGGGTTTAATCCTCGCGCTCATCTCTGTGGGATAAGATGTGGGTGGGAGAGACGGAAATATTCAGGGTAGGAGCCTACACGACTACCTGCGCAATCTCAGATTTTTCACTGTCTAGACGTATCTTAATTCCACCCTCATCAGTGGTAAGATGATTTTCTTTGGGACTGCAACAGGCAGGGAGGGCCCCGGCCTTGCAGGCTGCTGACCCGGTGTTCATTCCTCGGCATCCCAGATGGTCCCGGCCCCGCCAGGAGTGATTCCTGAGCACAGAGCCAGGAATAAATTATGAGAACTGCTTGGTGTGACCCCCAAAACACAGGCATTTAAAAAAAATCGTTGTTTTTCAAAAAGTTTCAATAAGATACAAATCTAGGAAATTTTAATGTGAATTTTAATGTGAATTCCTGGCATCTGTGGGCTGTAACCTTCCATCCATCTTTAACGTCTCTAGGTCTAGCTGGAGCTACAGTACAGCGGGAAAGGCGTTGGCTTTGCACAAAGCCAACACAGGTTGAATCCCGGGCAACCTCTACGGTCCCCCGAGCATCGCCAGGAGTAATTCCCGAGGGCAGAGTCAGATAATAAAAAAGAACTCTAGGTCTTCATATGTTAAAGTATTTCTCCAGATTCTGGCAATTGTAAAGAGCGCTGCAATGAACAAACCAGTGCAGATGTCACTTCGACTATACTTTTTTGCCTCTCTGGGATATATTCCCAGGAGTGGTATTGCTGGGTCAAATGGGAGCTCACTTTCTAATTTTTGGAGAATTGTCCATACTGTTTCCCAAAAGGGCTGAACATGATGGCCACTCGATGCCTCTTTTGCAGACCACAAGACCCAAAAGGAGAGCGAGAACAAAAGGGAATGCCCTGCCACAGAGGCAGGGTGGAATGGGGGTATGGGGGGTGGAGGGATACTGGGACCCGTGGTGGTGGGAAATGGGCACTGGTGGAGGGATGGGTACTCGATCATTGTATAATCGAAACCCAAGCACAAAAATGTGTAAGTCTACAACTGTATCTCATGGTGTCTCACTAATAAAAATTAAAAAAGTAAGAAATAAAAATAAATAAATTAAAAAAATATTTCTCTCTAGGTCTTTGTATTTTTGAATCATTTCCCCGTCCCTTTCTCTCTGACTTCAAACCCGATTACAAAAGCGTCTGACTATGTGCTATTGTCTAAAAACCCCTGGCCGCGAAGCTCTACTTTCCCGTCATTTTGGATGAAGGACATCTACGGATCCATCTGGAAGTCCATTAATTTTTCTTTTCTTGGCATCCACATTGTTGATAAGCACGTCAAAAGATTCTTCGATTTTGATATCAGGACTTGTATTTCTAGTCTTCTATTCCAAATCTTAAAAAATGGGACTCATCTCCTGGCCAAAATTCTTGTTTTTACCATGAAAATATCTCATTTCCCAGCATGCTGTTGACCTTTCTCACTAGCTCCTTTAATATATAAGGAGCGGGCTGGAGCGATAGCACAGCGGGGAGGGCGTTTGCCTTGCATGCGGCTGAACCGGGTTCGATCCCCGGCATCCCATAGGGTCCCCTGAGCACAGCCAGGAGTGATTCCTGAGTGCAGAGCCAGGAGGAACCCCTGAGCATCGCCGGGCGTGACACAAAAAGGCAAAAAAAGAAAAAAAAATAAGAATAAAAATAAAAGACTGGTGGAACACCAGCAGTGCTCGGGACTTACTCCTGGCTCTGTACTCGCGGTGGTACTTGGGGGACCTTACAGGGGCTGGGACGTACCTGGGCCGACTGCATGCCGGGCCAGCACCCTCCCGCCTGTACTAAGCTCTCGCCTCTCTCCGCCAATCTCCCTCTGAATCCTCTCCCTAGGGAAACGGGGTGAGCGTTCTGTGAGTCATTGCTTTCGGGCTATCTCTTAAACTCGAACCTCGCAAACGGAACCCAAGAACAGCAAATAAATTTTTAAAGGTAGAAAAATGATTTCAATTTTCTGTAATGGGTTTTTCAAAAATTATTTAAAGTATTTCCTTTGGCAGTTACGACACTCCACAACGGCCAGCAACATTTAGAAGTCAATTTTTAAAACTTCAATGAGGAAAAACACATCTCCCAGAACTGCTTCCGTAAATCACACACGTCGGGATGTAAAAATGTTTTTCCCCCGGTGAGTGGGTCTGCGAATAAGCAGTGGCAGGCTTGCTTTATTTCCGCGTCGGGCACAGGCTAATAATTTCCAGCACACGTAACTCATCATAGCTGCAGTTCACATTAAGTATGAGTGTCGGTGTGCCAAGAGAGACCACAAACGGTATGGCTGGACCTATAATCTTCATGTGCTACCAGCGTGTAATAACCAAAAATTAAACGTTTCCTTATAAAGAAGAACCCGAGACACTAACATGTTTATACCCACTTCATCTATTTCCTTTCAAAACCGTCACCACATCAGTCAACTTGAAGAAGTTTCCATAATACGATCTTCGAAGTCAAGCTCCCCAAATATTTAATGATCTTTTCTGTAAATGTCTAAATCTCTAGCTTTTTAAAGACCCGCTTTCTGGGTTGGCAAAAGAACCTTCACAGAGAAGAACCTGTGAAATATATGGGAATAGTTCCGACCAGTCTCTGCCCCCGCGCCTGGGTGTTCCTTCCCAGAGTCCCTTGGAGGGGAGCGGGTTGAGCTTTCCTCCCTGCCCCGACCAGGGCTACGGCAGCCGGAGACCTCCAGGACCAGCCACCACCATGCTGAGACCACTCTCCGCACACATGAAGGTACTGGCAGAGGGACAAAGCCACGCGGGTTCCGGGGCCGAGACCTCCAAGCCTACTCGAATTGGAGTCGAGCATCTTCCACCCAGATCCTCCAAATTCCAGTAGGCGGGGGTCACACCCACCACCTGGCCCCCTGGCGCCGTGTAATCCCATCAGCAGCCAAGACTCAGAGACTATAAAATCCAGATCCCGGAACCGCGCGGCCGCATTTGCGGCCGCGCGACATCTTATTACCTCATTCCTACTTTGGACAAACTTGCAGGCTATCCGAATGCAGCCTGCCCACAGGGCAGAGTCTGGCAAACTCCCCGTGGCGTACCCAATATGCCAAATACCAGTAACAATGATGGGTCTCATTCTCCTAAAGAGCCGTGAATATAATCTCAGGGCTAGGATGAAAGAGACGTTACTGGGGCCTGCTCGAGGCAATCGACGATTAACAGTTCCGACCACCTTATCACTGTCACTGTCTTCCCGTTGCTCTTCGATCTGCTCGAGCGGGGGCCTGTAACGTCTCCACTCGTCCCTGTCACGTGCTGGTGTAGCCCGATAGCATACTGGGGAATCTTCCGGGCTCAGGGGAATGAGGACCATCATTGTTACTGTGTCTGGCATATTGAGTACGCCACAGGGAGCTTGCCGGGCTCTCCAAAAGCTCTCAGATGCTTCTGTAGTCGAGTTTGAAGTCAGAGAGAAAGGGACTCGGAAATGGTTCAAAAATACAAAACCTAGAGAGAAATACCTTAACATATGAAGACCTGCTCTCTCTTGGGGCAGCCTCTAATCACCTTTACAGGTGTCCCCAGTCAGGCATGTTTGAGGTAGGATGCTCTCCGCAGCCCGGTTTTATAGTCTCTGGGTCGTGGCCGTTGATGGAATTACACGGCAGTTGGTGGGTGTGACTGCCAAGCTACTGGAAGACGGGGGGTCTGGGTGGAGGGGGCCTGTCCCGATCCGAGGAGGTCTGGAGATCTCAGCCCCGCATCCTGCACGCCTGGGTTCCTCTGCCGGCTCCTTCATGCGTGGGGCTCGTCCGAGCATGATTCCGGAGGTCTTCAGCTGCCGGGGCTCTGCTCGGGGTGGGGAGGGAAACTCAACCCACCCGCCCCTCCAAAGGGCTCTGGTGAGGACAGCCAGGCACGGGGCAGGAGACTGCCGACCACTTTGTAACTGCATAATACAATATTCCTTTAACTCTGCGTGGGACTTTAATAATTATTGGCTTTCTTTCCCTTGTGACTCAACCGTGTAATTCTGCAGTCAGTGTATGTCTGTTTCATATATAGTCATAAATAAAATGGCACCGTAATTTTCTTCTATAACTTTGGTTCATTCAACATTTATTTCACCTCTCCACCTGGATGTAAGGAGCTCTATGTAGGTCACTCATTTTCACTGTTAAATTCCATATCTGAATGTGCAAACAATGAGACTATATTAGGTGTTTCTCTGGGGCATGGCCTCTCACATGTCTAGTACTTAAGAATCGCCACTGTAGAGTCTGTTAAAACCTGGGATCCTGGGGTTCGCCTTCAGAAACCCGGATTCAGTGGCTCCTAGGTAGGGTTTTAGAATGCAAATTTCTGGGGCTGGAGCAATAGCACGGCGGGGAGGGCGTTTGCCTTGCACGCGGCCGACCCGGGTTCGATTCCCAGCATCCCATATGGTCCCCTGAGCACCGCCAGGAGTAACTCCTGAGTGCAGAGCCAGGAGTGACCCAGAATGCAAATTTCTTACTAACTCCTACATGATGCAAGTATATGACTGTGTAGGCGCCATTCTGAGCAGGGCTCTAGGGTATACTGATATCATTTTCTCATTTATTTGTAAGAACTCTTCAATTAATACATAGTACTAACGCTCTTCCTCTGGTTAATGACTTAAAAATTACTTCAAGTACTACCCAAGGAGTAGAATTTCATTTTATTGTAGCCGAATTTATCTTTCCTTTCTAGCTTCTACTTTCACTGCTGAAAGCTTTTGCCGCCCAGGAGATCATGAAGACGGTCTCTCCTATTTTATCATTTAAACCCTGCATAGTGCCACTGTTTACTTAGGTCACTAAATCATCTACAACTGGTTTCATATACTGTGTGAACTCTCTGTAATATCATTTTCCCACACCAATGGTCCTAGAACGCCAATTCCCTATTGTCCAAACTCTAGCAATGTATTTGCTAGGTATCAAATATCCAGACGTTTGTGATTCTGTTTCGGTTCTGTTCTACTGGTCTATCTTCTGCTACGCAAAACGACACGGCTTGCTCTACACTTCCCTCAGTCTGGTTTTAAGTAGGTCTATTCTAAACATATTTATTAAAAGATTTGGCTCTGGATCTCCTCAGTGAGGAAGGCAAGACAGACGAAATAGGTAGAAGATTTACTAGGTATTTCAAAGATGTTTTTAGATTCTATTACTCTCAAAGGTCCATTTTATCTATGACTAAGTAACTGTGTTTCTCCAATGCTGTCATTATGCATAGCACTCCCATTTAGGCTCACTTAAATGACTCGGAAACCTGAAAACAGAATGTCCTTGGTGTTACTTTCCTCTATTAACCAAGCAGCACAGATAAATAAAAACATGCTCATGACATAAATCAAGATTTATTAAATACACATTCAGACATTTATGTGAAACAAAAAGCTATCGCCCCCGTGGCAATTGCTGTGTAAAATAAAAGACAAGGCAGATTTATGAGGCAATGAACCCTCTTCATCTCCGAAGATACAAACACGTAAGATGCCGTGGGCGTTAACGAACTTAACTTAGTCGAATTTTCACGTTAAGGCTCTAACACTAGTTAGATGTCAACAGCTCCTGACACCCCAGGTTCTGAGGTCGAAAGAAATGAGCATACTTTGGGGTCTGAGGTGTTAAGGGGTTGAGAGTCACATTTCCAATTAAGTTTGTGTGTGTGTGTGTGTGTGTGTGTTCTTTTTTTTTGGGGGGGGCTTTTTGGGTCACACCCGGCGATGCTCAGGGGTTCCTCCTGGCTCATGCACTCAGGAATCACTCCTGGCAGTGCTCAGGGGACCACATGGGATGCTGGGAGTCGAACCCGGGTCGGCCGCGTGCCAGGCAAACGCCCTCCCCGCTGTGCGATTGCTCCAGCCCCTCCGATTAAGCTGTGCAAAGGCGTAGGACTCTTCATGGAAAGCAACTCTGTCCCACCATGCAACCGCATCAAAGGAAGACAAACCCGCTTTGTTCGTCCGAGGGCCAGACCACTTGGTGCTCAGAGGCCATCCCGGGCCTCCAGAGGGCCAAGCACGCGCGCCGTGCACAGTGCTCTCGCGGCCCTGCATCCCTCTTACCTGCACAGCCGAAAGCTAAATGGTATCGAGAAGAGGGGCTGAATTTCACACAGCAGACATTCGCCTTCGCCTCAATGCTTGCCACCGAGTTGTCGAGGTTGGTGGACCACAATTTTACTAAGGACAACAGACAACGAAAAGAGAAAAAGGAGAAAACGTCAGGCGAGAGCTTCTACCACCAGGGGAGCTGAGACGCTGCTCTCTCGCTCATTTTCTGCTAATCTAAAGCAATCTGGTAAGAAAAAGGTAAAGCAATCTAGTAAAATAGTAAAAAAAATCAAATACAATAAAAATATAATAAAAAATATAATAAAAATAAAGCAACACAGTTTACTAGAATCAAGAGCTACTTAAACGGAGCAACTGAACAACAGAAAAAAAACAAACAAACAACAGAGGCTTAAAACCCAGGGTACTTAATTTCAAAGCCAGGACACAGAAAAGACAAAAAAAAAAAAAATCAATGTACAACTGAAAGGTAACGACATCCTATAACGAAGACGTGAAAGATAGGAGTTGAAATAGAAAACTGCCCGGAGCTAGGTAGCAGATACGAGGGATATTAATTGTGTGTCTGTGTGGCCGGCTGGGTGCGTCCAGGTTGCACGGTTTTCAAACCTAAGACCTTCGTGAGAACCACACACTCCAGTGAAGCACAAACACACATTTCACATGGGGACCGCCGCCAGATACACATCATTGGGAGCTTGGAGATATTCCTGGAAAGTGATTGGCTTTCCCAGAGCAAAATAAGATGCCTGTTTTTAAGATCAAAGAGCAAGAGTTTCAAATGGCAGTATGTGATTTGGTCCATTATTTTCCAATATGAATCACATGCCGTTTAGTCAAAATACACGGGGGGATGAGATATAGAGCTTTGAGCTAGCTGACAAGACTAGCTGTAATTAAAGCAGGCACGTCAAAAAGCACTTATTGAGATTCAGATAAACATATTCACATCCATGTTCATGTTCACATATTCATACATGTAAATACTTGATAAATAGAAGATAGAGGACCTTTGGGTAGAATTCTAAGAGCCTAGGAAGCCAAACTTAATCCACGATAAAGTGTGTGTGTGTGTGTGTGTGTGTGTGTGTGTGTGTGTGTGTGTACACACATACGTGAGACAAGAGACTGAAAGCATGTAGGCGAAGATGAGAAAACGCAATGTGTCTTTTGTTATGCTAACAAGATGAACTCTTAAAGGCTCCAGGCTGAGGAAGGAAGGCAGCTGGTTTCCTAAGCACGAACCCAGTGGCCAGTGGCGGGAGTCCCGCCCTCCAGGGGGAACGGAAGAAGGAAAGCCTTGCTAAAACTGGCGATTTCATCAATCAACTCTGTGATGGTCCCTGAACAAGCGGAAGGACAGACTGCTTGGGGAGACTCCAGGCAGGCGGCCAGGTGGGGGACACAGGGAGGACAGGAAGCTCTGGCTCGGGTCACATGCTCTGCTGTTAAGCGGCTCTGTCCACTGAAGCCATTAGCTAATGAGGAAAACGTTTCCGAGTTCTGTGAGTCACTCTGCACACACCAGTCAAACTCAGCCAGGAGGCTGTGCAAACCGGAAGTCCAGGGAGCAACAAGGAGCATATCCTGAGTTGGAGGGGCCAAGGCCAAGAGGGAACTGGCCACAGCCTGTCAGCCAGAAGCACAAGCTGAGCCGTGGGGCTTGTGAAGTGAAGGAAAATACACGTGTGTGTGTGTGTGTGTGTGTGCGCGCGCGCGCGCTAGTGGGTCACCCTCCTCCCTCCCTCCATCCTTCCCACTGGAAGGATGACACTGGACCCACACCCCTCCGCAAAGAAACTCGGAATAAATAGATGCCCAAACATTCCCGAAAGAACCAAGTGGATGGCGATTCTCAGATGTCGTACTTTTTAAACCTCAGGCACAAGATGTGAATCCAGAGGATAGTTTTGACAATCGGTATATTCAGTTTTCTTTACGGCCAAATGATATAGATTGCTGTGCATGGATTATTTTTAGACTCATCAATAATCACAAAGGACTGCCCCGAGTTTCACTCAATATCTGCCTCCCTGCCAGTAAAAGGGATCGCAGGGGAGGGGGGTAGGGGTTCATCAGTACCTTTTGCATCATCGGACCCCGAAGCCAAGAGCTTTGGATCCATCAAGTTAAAATCCACGCTCCAACACCTCTTCTCGTGCTCCTGGAAGAAGACAGGAACATAGCTCTTAATTAAAGGGGGAAAACAATTTGTGAAACCAATCTCTTACTGTGGTGGGAGTGAGAATCGGCTATGAAAATAAATGAGATGCCGGACCCCGCGCCAGGCTGGCTCACTCGGGGCACCGGGAGTGGGGGGGTGGGGAAGGGGGGGCCGGGGCGAGTGAGATCTTTCCCCGCCCCGAGGGACCCAGCCCCCACAGCCAGCCGAAAACGCTCGGGCTGAGGCTCACCCACAAAAGCACAACTATTCATGTACAATGCAGCTTCATTTGACGCTGCAGGATACTTCAAACCAAATACTCTTACCCGTACTCCAGGATTACTACACCACATTTGACAGGGTTCAAAATAGGAGGCAACCAATCTTAGAGGGAAATATACATTCTTTTTTTTTTTTTACAGATATATATATATATATACATATATGAAAACACACAAGGCTCAAACTTTAACAACATGTTAGTGATCTCTTCTAGAAGGGCTTAATGGCCCCTGGGTGAAATACCACAATCCTCACTCTCTTTCCTCTAAGGATACTTTTTTCTAGCATTCTCAGCAGACTTTCACAACAAACTGTCCACTGTCCACTGTCCTCCCGTTGTTCATCGATTTGCTCGAGCGGGCCCAGTAACGTCTCCATTGGAGACTTTGTTGTTACTGTGTTTGGCATCTCGAATACGTCACAGGGAGCTTGCCAGGCTCTGCCGTGCGGGCGAGATACTCTCGGTACTTGCCGGGCTCTCCGAGAGGGGCGGAGGAATCGAACGCGGGTCGGCCATGACATATTATTTTGGTCCTGTTTGGGGGCAGGGATTGGGGCTTGGGATGGAAACACCCGAAATATGGTGGTGGGACTGGGGTTTGGATTTTAAATGTGAATATACATATTGTAAACTACTTTATAAAATAAAAAATATTAAGAAAAAAAGAAAATAAATGAGATGCAAGATAGTCTCGAAAAATTTCATGTATAGATTTACTCAAACTGCTGGTTCTGGAAATAAGTTCGCTATATTACACAGGATCTGAAGAAATGCTTCAGAAAAGTAGTATTACACACACACACACACACACACACACACACACACACACACACACACACACAGCAGCACTGTCCTCCTGTTGTTAATGGATTTGCTCAGGCAGGCACCAGTAACGTCTCCATTGTGAGACTTGTTGGTACTGCTTTTGGCATATCGAATATGCCATGGGGAGCTTGCCAGGCTCTGCTGTGAGGGCGGGAAGCTCTCAGTAGCTTGCCGGGCTCTCGGAGAGGGACGGAGGAATCGAACCTGGGCTGGCCACATGCAAGGCAAACCCCCCTCCTGCTGTGCTATCGTTCCAGCCGGCCCCGCAACACACACACACATATAAACAACCCGATTGTAAATACAAAGCACACGAAGCTCTACAGTGACCGAGAAAGTGAAAAAGATGATTCTGCAAACATGGATCGAGGATCCCTCTTTACCTGATAGACCTTTGACCTCTGCCCGGTGAATCCATCCCACAGGATGACGGTGCCCTCGTAATCACTGCTGGCCAATAGGTTCTTGTGGTAACTACTCCAACTGATACAGCTGTAACAGAGAGACTTGCTTTACATACAAAGAAGTCACGAGAATCTAAAAAACGCGGATGTGTTCAGAAAGACTGGACTTCGACCAAAAGGGAATACCTTGCCACAGAGGCAGGGTGGGATGGGGCGATGAGGGGGTGGGGGGGGTGGGAGGGATGCTGGGACCCCTGGTGGTGGGAAATGGGCACTGGTGGAGGGATGGGTGTTTGATCACTGTACAACTGAAACCCAAGCACAAAAATTTGTAAATCTACAACTGTACCTCATGGTGTTTCACTAACAAAAATTAAAAAAAAAATGTAAATGATGGAGAATGGGCACTGGTGGAGGGATGGGTACTGGATCATTGTATAACTGAAACCCAAGCACAAAAATTTGTAAGTCTACAACTGTACCTCATGGTGTCTCACTAATAAAAATTAAAAAAAAAAAAGAAAGATTAGACTTCTTGAAGAATGGTCTACATGCATCTATAATCATCACACCGCGCATGACATCCCTGGGAAAAAACGGATTCTGTAAATCCCACAATCTTCTAATGAAACAAACTACCAGGTACCACGGTACCCGCACCCTGATTCTCTCCAATCCCTAGCTGGAAAATTGACAAGGGAGACCAGGCCAGCAGAGAAGGTCACTGAGGCACGGGGGCACAGGCTTAGCGGGGGGGGTCACACCCAGCGATGCTCAGGGGTTACTCCTGACAGTGCTTGGGGGACACTATGAGATGCCGGGGATTGAACCCGGGTCAGCCGCGTGCAAGGCAAACGCCCTCCCTGCTGTGCTATCGCTCCGGCCCCGATCTAGCATTTCTGAGCTGGAGGTGTGGGTGGTTCAGGTCCCCGGTTAGGACTGGCTTCGGGCATGCGGCCTAGAGAAACCCAGAGCCTCCGGCCAAGTCGCGCTTCCTGCACTCACTCCACGGAGCCATAAAGGACCGCCCAGTTTAGCAGGTGCCAAGACAGAAAAAGACTCCCGAGCACTGCTGGGTAAGCAGCCCAAGTAATCCCTGTGGCCACAGGGCCTGAGCAACCCAGGGCCCTTGGGCGCTGCACTGCGCTGATCAAGTATCACCAGGAGGGGCGCCAGGGCCTCTGAGGACCACTTGGGATACACCAAAAATTAAAAATAAAAATCTGTTCCCTGGAGGGATGTGACTCAGTGGTCGAGTGCACACTTCACATTTATGAGGCCCAGGGTTTAAGACCCAGAATCAAAAAGACGAAAGGAAAAAGAAAAAAAGCTGTATCTTCCGAATGCAAAATTACTTTGCATTTTGGACTCTGGAATTGCAGGTCATTTCATTTTCGGGGGAATGAATATCCACTGCATCCCGGATGATGGGGCCGTATTCCTAGACTTTAAATTTCTTAGTAACACCAGCAATTGCAGAACAGTCACAATCCTGGTCAACAAGAACGAGAAAGCAGGGGCGGGAATGAAATCATGGCAGGTAGGACATTTGCCTTGCATGCGGCCGACCCGGGTTCGAACCCCAGTATCTCATATGGCCCCCTGAGAACCGCCAGGAGTAATTTCTGAGGAAAGCCTGGAGGAAGCCCTGAGCACCGGCAGGGTGTGACCCAAAAAGGCAAACAGACAGAAAACAGATGAAGAACGCCAAAGAATCACATAGAAAGCTTAAAATAATAAATAGACTCACACTAGCTATACATACTTATTGTTACATACATACGGCATCATTGTTACACAGACACAGCATTATGCCATAGAACTCACGTAAGTACCTGATTTTAGAATTGCAGGTCATTTCATTTTCAGGGTAATGAATGTCCACTGCATCCTGGATGACGGTGCCGTATTCATAGACTTTGATTTTCTTGGTAACACCAGCAATTGCAAAATAGTCACAATCCCGGTCAAATTCGATACTAAGGGGGGGGGGGGGGGAAGAAGCATATAATTGGTCAATAAGACAACTGACCGACTTTCGTGACTGATGACACACAAAACAAAATAAAAAGTGGGTCCTGATCTTGAAGAAGACACGGATCAGGAACAAACTGTTCAGATGGCAGCAATACAGAATCAGGAGGTAAGTTCTGATGAGCACTCAAACGACTTTAAACTAAGATGCCAGTGCTGAAAGCAGACTACAGACCAAACATGATGGCCACTCAATGCCCCTTCTGCAGAACACAACAACCAATAAGAGAGAGAGAGAACAAAAGGGAATGCCCTGCCACAGAGGCAGGGTGGGATGGGGGGGATGGGGGGTGGGAGGGATACTGTGACCCGTGGTGGTGGGAAATGGGCACTGGTGGAGGGATGGGTGTGTGATCATTGTATAATGGAAACCCAAGCACAAAACTTTGTAAGTCTACAAACTGTACCTCATGGTGTTTCACCAATAAAAATTAAAATAAATAAATAAACTAAGATGCCAGCCAGAAAAAGTTATCTTGAAATGAATTACAGAGTAAAACCTAAAAACTAAAACTCCTAAAAATCAAAGCGAAAAACAAATACAGAATTTGGGGGAGGCAAGTATTTCTCTATGAAGAATCTAATGATTCTATTGGAATTCATCCAAATCAATACCTTCGTTCTTCAAAAGAGACATCATTAAATAAAGGATGAACCCAACTCCGGAAGAAAGTACTACCGACACATATATTTGACAAAGCAACCATGTTCAGCATAGATTTTGAAAACCTTATTCAATGAGAGGAAGACCTGGTGCTATTTTTGTAATGGGTAAAATATTTGAGCAGGTACATCCTGAAAGATATATGAATGACAAATAAGAACATTAAACACCTTTCCGTATGGAATGAAGGTACCGGCAGAGGAACAAAGGCATGCGGGTCCCGGCCCTGAGATCTCCAAGCCTGCTTGGATCGGGGCTGAGCATCCTCCACCCAGATCCTCCATCCTCCAGCAGGCAGGGGTCACACCCACCAACTGGCCCCCTGGCGCTGTGTAATCCCATCAATGGCCAAGACCCAGAGACTACAAAACCCAGCTCCCGGAAGCGACGTCTTATTATCTCATTATTACTTTGGACAAACTGGCAGGCTACCGAATGTAACCTGCCCACATGGCAGAGTCTGGCAAACTCCCCGTGGCGTACCCAATATGCCAAAACCCAGTAACAATGATGGGTCTCATTCTCCTAACCCTGAAAGAGCCTTGAATATGGCACTTTTTAAAAAATCTCAGGGCTAGGACGAAGGAGACGTTACTGGGGCCTGCTCGAGGCAATCGACGAACAACAGGATGACCGTGATCGTGACCTTATGAAAGAAATACACAGCAAAACAAAAAGGTCTATTTCTACTTCACACCCACTAATAAAAAGATTGACCTGCTATTAAATAACCAATTATCTAATCAATAACCAAGAGTTACTGGGGACAACTCCATCTCCTGCATTGCTGATGAGAAAGCCCCAGTAACGGAATCCCTTGAGAAACAGTTTGGCCTTTTCACAGAATGAAAAGTGAAAGGTAATCACTACTCAGCAACATCAGTCCCAGACTATTTACCCAAGAGAAATAAATATGAATATCCAAAATGACTCCTGTGTGAATATTCATAGCGGCTTTATTCACAATCGTAGAAAACCGGAAAGAGTTCAAAGGTCCTTACATTCATGAATGCATAAACGAAATGTGGAATATTCATAAAAAATATTAGTCACTAACACGGGCATCTAAATGTTTTCGATGAATCTCAAATACAGATGGAGCTTAGGTAGCAGAAACAAAGTGAATACTGTCTATTCCGATGTAAACCACAGAATGGTTCGGTATTCAAAATTTTCCCTCAGAGGCAAGAATCGGGTAGCCAGTGGTCTGGAACAGGCATTTGGAGGAACAGGTGAAATCATGTACCAGAAAAATACATTTCTGTATTCTGACTGAGGTCCACCCAATTTTAAACACTGAGATGTTCTACTTCGTTGTACAGCAATTGCACTTGAGTAAAAGTGGCTTTTGAAGTTTTTCAGTTGTTTTTATTTTTGCTTTTTTGGGTCACACCCGGCGATGCTCAGGGGTCACTCCTGGCTCGCGCACTCAGGAATCGCTCCTGGCGGTGGTCAGGGGACCGTATGGGGTGCTGGGAATCGAACCTGGGTTGGCCGTGTGCAAGGCAAACGCCCTACCCGCTGTGCGATTGCTCCAGCCCTGAAGCTTTTCAGTTTGTGGTTCTACAATTAGGAAATTTAAAGCTCAGAGCTGAGCACAGTTCTATGATTTTAGGCGACAGCAACAAAGGCCCCGGGAATGTGGAAGTAGAGAGGAGAACAGAGGAAGAGGCGGGGACTGAGAAGCATCCAGTCGAGATTAACGGGGCTTGTCAGAATTGCCGACACAGGTCCAACTTTCTGCCCTATTTCATATCATTTTTTTTTTCAGCTCATTGCCACAAATAAATTTTAAAAGGCACAAATGGGACGCTTCTGCTGGGCAAGCAGGACTTCCTTCTACGTAAGTACGAAACGACTCTTGCTGTCATTCAACCAATGATGGAGCATCACCATCTGACGGGCGGAGTGGGGTTATTTGTATTATAGGACAGTGAGGCATGAAAAACAGTTGTTCTTCACTGGGGCCCAGAAACCCCTGCACAAGCCATCTCCAAATTGATCCCAGGACTTTAACCAAGCAAAGAGGATCTCCTTAGAGCCTAAGCCAATCGACTAGGTCGGGTGCTTGCAAAAAAGGTCAAAAACAGACCTGCTCTTAAACACATTCCTGGACTGCGCGGCCGCAAAAGCAGGCACGTGACACATCATCAAACACTCACGACCCATTCTCCGTAATCACCACACCACATTTGGTGGGGTTCAGATAGTAGGCATATATGTATATATATACGTGCATATATACATGTTTTCAGATACGTACACCAGAGCTCACACCACCCAAACTTTAACAACATGTTCGTGACACCCTCCAGAATGTCTTCATGGCTCCTGCCAAAACAGAACGATTTTCACACTGCTTCCTACAGGAACACTTTCTTGTAAGCGTGTTCCGCGGTTCTTCAAAACAGACAAAATGAAACGCATCGCTCCGGTTGTGTTTTGGGACAGGGACTGGGGCTTGGGATGGAAATATCCTGAATTTGGTGGTTGGTTGGAAGGTGTCGTGGTGGTGGGATTGGTGTTTGAAGATTGAATGTCATCAAACATTGTGAACTTGTAAAATTAAAAGAAAATAGAAATGTGGAGTTCGTGCCCAATTCAATCAGCTTGATCAAAGGCTGAATAAACAGCAGTGCTCCTACATTATTTAAAAAACAACAACAACAACAACAAAAAAAACCCCACAAAGAACAGACCTGCTCATTATTGAAACTACTGTTGTGTAAAAGCAGGGAAAGACTATATGTAAAGGAATGAGGGGGTTGTGTCCCAAGGAAACTTCATTAGGCAACACAATTTAAATTTTATAGTAATTTTCATACCCTTATTAGACATTTTATATGACTATATATTATATGCCATTGATGTTCTTCAGCATTTTTTTTCTTTTTTCGTCACTGTCCTCCCATTGTTCATCGATCTGCTTGAGCAGGCCCAGTAACAGTGTTGAGACTTGTGACTGTGTTTGGCATCTCGAATACGTCACGGGGCGCTTGCCAGGCTCTGCCGTGCGAGCGAGATACTCTCGGTAGCTGGCCAGGCTCTCCGAGGGGGCCGGAGGAATCGAACTCGGGTTGGTAACGCCCATCCTGATTCACAGGTATTCAAAATATGGCAATGGGTCAAATGTGAACTCATGGATCAGAGTTTGCTAGTTTTCCCTAATCAAAAAATCCAGTGTAGTGGCTGGTAGTGAAGTCACGAATGCCATATTCAGTCATTTTCTTTGGAATCTACTCATGACTAGTGCAGTTCTATTTCAAATCTTCAAAAAAAAAAAAAATAGAAGCAGGGCCACAGTGATGGTACAGCAGGGAGGGCGTTTGCCTTGCACGCGGCTGACCCGGGTTCAATTCCCAGCATCCCATATGGTCCCCAAAGTACTGCCAGGAGTAACTCCAGAGTGCAGAGACAGGAGTAACCCCTGAGCACTGCTGAGTGTGACCCCCCCCAAAAAAAAACAAGCGAGCAAGCAGAAATGTTAAAATAATCTCTAAACTGCAAGCATGTGTGTGGGGGGAATAAAATTTTAATTCATAATGAACACTGAACCAGGAATTCAAGAAGCAGTCATTGTTTAATGAATTTAAACAATGTCATTCCAAACCATCACTGTGTTAGCCACCAAACTGAATAGCTAATTTCAGAAAAAAAAAAAATCTTAAACTACGACACTATTGCTGTGTGGGAGAAGAGTTTCCCGTCTTTTCCATTACCTGTTCCGTTAGCCCAGGGCCACGTGAAATTCCTGAAAATGAACCTTCTTCTGAAACTTCTCCATGCCCCTATTTCCATGTATTACTTAATAACTGATACTGTCAAAATAAACGAATGCTGCCCCCTGGTGGGCCCAGGTTTCGGTTCTTAAATAACGGGAAACTCTCCCCAAGCAAAGCAAGCAGTCCTTTGAAAGCAGCCTGGCAGATTTTTCTCTGAGAGGTCGCACCGATAAATGACCAACATTGGACCTCTTGTCTTTTGAGTATCACTGCATCGCTGTCATCCCGTGGTTCACCGACTGACTCGAGGGGGCGCCAGTAACGTCTCCATCCGTCCCAGCCCTGAATTTTTCGCAGCCTCTCCTTACTCGTCCTTCCCAATGCTGCCGTATTGGGGGCTCCTTCAGGGGCAGGGGAATGAGGCCCGTTCTGGTGGCTGTTTTTTGGCATCTCGAAGGCGCCACGGGGAGCTTGCCAGGCTCTGCAAGAGTAAGGTCTTCTGAATGTAAGGAACTGATGTGCAAAACTGAACGGTACGTTCTCGAGCAACTCTGCCCCC